ACTTTTAATCCATCAAAGCCCTTTCTTAATATTTCCCAGTCTGGCATCTCAAAATGCTGACACTTTTTTTGCCCTGTAGACCCTGCAGGGGTGAAATGTAAGAGTTTTCACAGATCAAATGTTCAAATCCTGGGGTGGGATGTGGAGCAGCAGCAGTTTTATTTCCCTTAATCCTGATCCCTTCTTTTCTGCAGCCGCAACGGCTCTGCCCTGGGCCAGGTGACTTCCACTGACATCTACAAGAACCCCAAAACCTACAACAAGGTGAGCTGCAGACAAAACACCAAAACACCCTCAGAGAAAATGCTGCTCTTTGCCACTGTCTGCTATGAGCCCCTTTCTCTGGTGCAGGTCCATGAAGTTAATGGGATTAAAATCATCACCTACTGCTCGCCGCTGTATTTCGCCAACTCAGAGATATTCCGGGAGAAAATCATAGCCAAGGTGAGCAATCCTCAACAAATCCCTGCCTGAAGCCAGTCCCAAACTGCCCCTGCTCTCTCCTTAATTACATGGGGGTAATTAAGCTGTGGATAATCACGGACAATGGTCACATCCACTCTCTACTCCTCAGTCCTCTCCCTGGTCCTCAGGGCTGTTTGCAGAGCTCATTTTAGAGGTTGTGCCCAAATCCTGGCAGTTTCCTCCTCCAAGCTCTGCCAAAACAGGGACATCCTGCTATTCCAAGCCTCTCCCTGCATGTGCAGGTTCCCTGAGTTCCAGGAGATGTTTGGATGCCATCAGGATCACCCCACTCCAGTGCCCAGCTGGTGCCCCAGGCTGGGCAGTGCCAGGGAAGGAACAGCAGCTCCTGACTCTTGGAACAGAGATTTTAAGGAAAAAATTTCTCTTTCCCACAGACAGGGGTGGATCCTGGCAAGGTGTACTTGGCCAGGAGGAAATTTGTGAAACGGCAGGGGAAGAGTGCAGCACAAGCACCAGCAAAGCTCCCAAAATTCCTGCTGAAGGAGAACAAGGTAACTCAGCTCTGAGCTCCCAAAGGGTCCCTGTGTCCATGAGTACGGCCCCAAATCCCATCAGACAGCTCCTCTTGACATGGGATTTCCTGCACTGTTTTCCTGGCCACATTTCCCACTTTTCTACCCACAAACATCTCCATTCCTCCCCAAACCTGAAGGTGCAGAACTGGAATGGCTGGGAGGCTGGAGAGGAGTCTGGAATGGGAACATGGGGAACAATCTGCAGGAACCAGGCAGCTTTGGCTTCTTTCTCTGGGGCTCTGTCAGCAGTTCAGCCCTTTCCAAGCCCATTTCTCAGCTTTGCAATGCTGAGCAGTTCTGAAATAAACGAATCATGTAAATTATCCTAAATCCAGCCCCAAGGGACAGCCAGGTGTGCTGGTGTTCACAGGGGTTCTTGGATGAGGGAAGAGATGAGGATCTGACTCCGTGTTTCAGAAGGCTGATTTATTATTTTATTATATTTATTACATTAAAACTATACTAAAAGAATAGAAGGACAGGTTTCATCAGAAGGCTGGCTAAGAATAGACTAGCAAAGAATGATAACAAAGGTTTGTGGCTTGGCTCTCTGTCTGAGCCAGCTGGGCTGTGATTGGCCATTAATTAGAAACTTCTAACATGGGTCAATCACAGATTCCCCTGTTGCATTCCACAGCAGCAGATAACCATTGCTTACATTTTGTTCTTGAGGCCTCTTAGCTTCTCAGGAGGAAAAGTCTTAAGGAAAGGATTTTTCACAAAGGGTGTCTGTGACAGCCAGGCTGGCGTTAGTCCAGACTAAAACCCTTCATGTCAGTGGGCAGAGGTGCAGTCACCTGCCAGGACCCCCCCGTGCCCTGCCCTGACTCGGCCCCTCTGCTCTGCCTCAGACCTTGTCTTTGCAAGAGCTCCAGAAGGACTTTGAGAGCGCCTCTCCAACGGACACCAACAACAACCAGACCACTGCCAACGGCGCCGGCATCTCCTACATCACATTCCGCCCTGCTGGCCCCGGGGCTGGGCCAGGGCAGAGCCCTGGGGAGCTGGGCAGCAGCAGCACCACCCTGCAGGGCACCAGCACCACCCTGCAGGGCAGCACCCTCAGCGTCCTGCCCACAGACACCGACCCTGTGCTGGCAGCACCGCCCTACGTCAGCTTCCACACCATCATCCTGGACATGAGTGGGGTGTGCTTTGTGGACCTGATGGGCACAAAGGCTCTGAGCAAGGTGAGTTCTGTGCAGGGAGCTTCTGCTCTCTCACGTGAAGGTGTTTATGTGCCTCAATTCACAGAATTCACAGAATGACCAGGTTGGAAGAGACCTTAAAGATCACTAAATCCAACCCAGCCCCAACTGAACCTCAACTCAACCCTGGCACCCAGTGCCACATCCAGGCTTGTTTTAAACACACCCAGGGATGGGGACTCCACCACCTCCCTGGGCAGAACATTCCAGAATTTTATCTCTCTTTCCATGAAAAAATTCTTCCTAATATTCAACCTGTATTTCCCTTGGTGCAGCTTGAGGCTGTGTGCTCTGGTTGTGTCAGTTCCCAGCTGAGCACGGGCCCCTTTCAGGAGCTGCACAGTGATGGGGGCACCCCTGAGTCTCCTTTTCTCCAAGATAAACACCCCCAGCTCCCTCAGTTGCTCCCACACAGGGTTTGTGTTCCCATTGTTTGGCTTTTCCTCTTGTGCATCTCTGATTTTCTCCTTCAGCTCAACTCACCCCTGGCACCCAGTGCCACATCCAGGCTTGTTTTAAACACATCCAGGGATGGAGACTCCACCACCTCCCTGGGCAGAACATTCCAGAACTTTATCACTCTTTCTGTAAAAAGCTTTTTCCTGCTATCCAGCCTGTATTTCCCTGGTGCAGCTGGAGCTGGGAGCTCTGACTGTGTCAGTCCCTGCAGACAGAGCCCAGCCCCAGCTGAGCACGGGCACCTTTCAGGAGCTGCACAGTGATGGGGGCACCCCTGAGTCTCCTTTTCTCCCTCAGTCATTCCTCACAGGGTTTGTGTTCCAATTGTGTGGCTTTTCCTCTTCTGCACCTCTGATTTTCTCCTTCAGCCCCAGCACTGATAAAAGTCTTTATGCATAAACACAAAGCTGGGGCAGCAGTGGTTTTAATCCTCTCTCTCTCCCATCTCATCCCTTCCAGTTGTGTTCCAGTTACCAGAAGATTGGGATCAAAGTGTTCTTGGCAAACGTGCATGGTAAGAATCCCCAAAAAACACATTTCCATGGGATGTCCCCCCATTTTTGAGCTGCTGACAGACAGCAAATCCTTTTCTGTTCTTTATTCAAACTGTGAGATGTCAGTCCTTTGCTGGACCGGCCCAGAACAGATAAAAGGGAAAAAAACAGAAGAAAAGAAACAGAATCACTGTTCTCTGTGTGTGAAATCAATGCTTTCATTTAGGAAGTGATAAAGCTGGAACATCCCCACACTCAGCATGCAGGAAAACAGCTCCCCACACTCATTTCTGCTGCAAAGCTGCTCCTTCTGAGCCTTGCCTTGGCTCAGAGGACCCCAGAGCAGCCTCACACACCCCCAAAATCCCTCCTGTGCTTTCTTCATTCAGCTGTCTCCTTTCTCCAGCCCAGGTGTACGACGACATCAGCACAGGGGGAGTGTTTGAGGAAGGAGGCCTGGACCCAAGTCACATCTTCCTGACCATCCACGACGCTGTTTTGTTTGCACTGGCCAGTATCAGAGAGTTTGTCCACCCACCCATCTTGGAAGAGGTAAATTTGCTCCCCAGCCCACAGGATTCTCCTGTTTGGCTTCCAGGCTGCGTCAGCACAATGAAAAGAATAACATTTTATTACGTAATATAATATTTTATTACCTAAAGAAGCTTCATGTTTATCTCAAGTGGTAAAGGCCTAAATCCAGGACATTATTTAATATTCCATTTGTTGTGTCTGGGCTGGGCACCTTGTGATGGAATGGATTTCCATGGGAATTCAGAAGTGTCAATATTTTAGTGTCAATTTGTTGTACACAAACCCTTGGCTGAGAGACGAGTGCTGTGCCAGCCTGGAGGAGCCAGAGGAGCTGTTCCAGCACTGTGCCCTCAGTTTGGTGCTGTTGGAACAGGCAAAGGCAGAATTTGGCCCACAGTGATGAAGAAATGAAGGCAAAGCTCGTGTAGATGGAATAGTCCTGGCATCCATGAGTGTTCCACTGGTGGGAGGAGAACAGGAGGAATTCTGAGGCAGGAACGTGGCCCATGCTGGTGGCACAGCGTCAGACAGGCTCTGTCCCCAAACAGGGCTTGGTTTATTGTGTGCCAGCTGGAGCTGGCACCAGTGGCACCAGTTATCACCCCAGGAGGAGTTCAGGTATCTCTGTCAAAGCAGAGCGACAGGAAATGCAGACAAACACCTGGAGCAGGACTCCTCCTGTGTCCCTTCTCCTGGCATTTCCCTCAGAGCGTGGGTCACCTTCTAGGCCTGGCTTAATCATTGTTTTCACTCCTTTTGACCCTGCACTCTGCTAATTTGTGGAATCAACTCTTCCCCGCACAGAGGCCGACCCAGACAGAGCTCTCCATCTATGATGAGTCTGTGGATGAGGGCAGTGCAGAGTACAAGAACCTGGAGGAGGTGAGTTGTAGTGCCAGGGGTCGCTGCAGCCGTGGGAATGGGGCAGAAATTAATTGGGATTGATTAGATGGGAAATCATCTGGAAGTACTGCAGTGCTTCAGAAAGTTAATTGCAAATAGAATTTTAAATCCCTGTCCTGAGGAGCTCTGGAAGGCAGCTGGATGAGGAGCAGGTAGGTCACCCCACAGAGGAGCCCTTCAATCATTCTGGGCCACACAGCTCAGGTTCAGCCAGACCTGAGGGGAACTCAGGTGTTGGAGATTTTTTCAGGGATGGCCTAGAAGGCAGCTGTGAGGAGCAGATTCTCACAGCCTGTTTCTGTGAACAGCAGAGGTTCTCAGGTTATTTTTAATTACAAGTAAAGGTGACAAACATGAAGGCCTTGAGAGCCTTGCACATCAGAGTTCT